GGACCGGGCCGGGCTCCTCCCGCCGCCGTCCCCTACAAAGGGCCCCGAGGAGCGGGGCCTGGGGGAGCTTCGCCGCTGGGTCTGTGTGGAAATAGTGCTCAAAGAAGTATTAAACCCCCCCAAACCCACGTTAAAAATACCCCTGTGAAGCTCCCGAGAGTTTATTTTGCATAATTCCCTATTTATTTATTTATTTCACCTTTCAAGTTCCCGAGCTTTGCACGTAAGCGCAGCAAACCCGAGCGGGATCGTCTCCCACAAAACGCTCCGGTGGTTGTAAATCCCGAGCGAGCGTGTAATTGCCGCTGGAATTTGTTTTAAATGATATAATTAAAGGTTGTACCCCATGCGAAGCAGTTCCCTTTTGTTAGGCCTTAAACGTGTTTTGGCATTTTCCCGCTTTTGTCTTTTATTTTTAACCTGCTTTTGTTATTAAGATCGAAATGAGGTGTTTAAACAATACAGTGTAACAGTCCCTGCGGTGTTCCCCACAGTCGATCCAGGGGGTTTGGATGGGATAAAGAGCAGTGCCAGTGTGACTCGAGAGCGAATCTCTTTCTTCCAGCAAGTTGACTGACTGTTCCGTAGCCTTTGTGCATGTATCTTGAAATACTTTCTTTAAACATTTGAAATCCACGGGGAAATCCCTTGGGTTAATACTAATCTCCATAACTCGGCTTTTTTTGGCCCTGGTAAAATAAGGGGATGCTTTTATTGCAGTTCACCAGTAACGCTTTGCTTTCAGTAAAACAAGAGTGAAACGTGTTTGTTATTGGGGAGAAATGGGTTTTTTGTGGTTTAAACGGCCTTGGGCGCATGAATGGGCCCGTTGGTTCGAGCTGGACAAAGACTCGGGACGTGTGTCCAGTAACGCAGGGCACGAGATGGGGATTTCAGAGAATCAAGCCATTGTGTGGGGAGCGGAGCAGCCCGAGCACCGTGGTTCGGTTGGTTTCAGGAACTCTCTTCTACTCAGGTGGTGTTTTGAAGTGCTGTTTGCTGACTGGCAGCAGCTTTGAAGGGTCAGAACAATGTGTAGCGATGTGACAGGACTTTTGTTCAAACACAAGCGTTGTTGGATGTGTGGGACTGTTTTGTCTGTAGGTATTTCATTCACGAGTGCAGCGTGCTTCCTTTGAATCCTAGTTTGTGGGTTTCAGAGAGGAGTAGAAGCTTGGCCATTCAACAAAGTGTCTAATTTATTTCTTTCTCTCTTGGCAAGTGCTCTCTGCCATCGTGTCAGTTGCTATGGCTTCCTCTGTAAAACAGAAATCTGGTGGTATAAATAGTTTTGTACATTTTTACCCTCCAGAAACAACTTGCTTTCAAGGGTTCCTATAGAGTCCTGCAATGTTTCTTTTGATTGTTGTCAGAAGTATTCATATGGCTTTTTGTCTGTGCATCTCGCAAGTGTTAACATAAACTGTTTTCTTAAAGGAATCCTAATTTGAAGGTGAATCTTATGATTTCTCCCCACACAGAGTCAAGTACATCAGGGAATTAGCAAGAGAGATTCTGTGTTTTGTGGTTTGAATGTTTCGGGAAGACTTGGCTTGTTCAATTGAACTTTACACACTGGCAATTCCTGCATCTTCAGAAGAGCCACATAGGCAATTTCCAAGTGTGCTGTTGCATTTGCATAATAGGAGCAATTTGTTGCCATCCACAGCTCTTCTGTGGAAATGCAGCCGCTGAAGATTAAAATACCTTGTATCCAACATCTCATAGAACAGAGTTGTTGAGACTGGCATGCTTGGAGCGCTGTGTGATGAGGATGAGGGGAGAGGCAGGTTGTGCTGTCAACTCTTCTGAGCAGACAGTGGATCCGGTATGTGCTGCCCAAAGCTTTATTGATCTGTGAAGGTGTTCAGCAGCTTTGCTGTGCAGTATTACTGAACGCCTCTGCTGCCACGTCCGTGAACGTGCCTATTGGAAAGCAGTTTCCATCAGGGCAGGCTTTGTTCTTTAGAAAATTAGCGTTCATGCTTAGACAGTGAGCCCTTTGATGCAGGTGCCCTATCTCTGTGTGTGTTTGTGGAACTCCCAGCACTTCTGGTATTACTGGAACTTAGTAGTAAACAATGAAGTTGTTAAGGTTTTTATCTGGAGATTAATGTAACCATATCTCTTTGTTTAAACCAGTCTCGTGAATGAGCATCTAGTTTAGAAAACATGTAGCACGTGTCTCGCTTTGGTTTTGTTGTATTTGTGTGGCAGAAATGATGAAGGGCCATGGCTAAGAGGGTAGTTCTTGGGTTTTTTTTAACAGTACTTAGAATTTTTCTTTCAGTCTTTTTTTTTAAATATTTTTTGAGATAAATTTATCTCATTGAATTGTGAAAGGTACGGGATTGGGTTTTGTCTTTAAAGATTGACGGGTATGAGTAGATTCCAAATGAGCTCTTGAGAGAGGCAGAAACTATTGTGCCCTCAGCCAGCATTAGAAAAATACTGGAAACACTCTTGTTTTATAAAGGTCTGAGTTATTAAAGGAAAGCAAATGCAGATATTTACTAAAAGACATGGGCAGGAGGCAGCATAAGTGATAGGATGCCTTGGGAGGCAGTGGAATAATTTGTGTGGGTACCTGGCGCTGCTGAGCTTTTAGACAATGGTGCAAATATGTAAGGATGAAGGTGAGGTTTGGCTGACAGGGATAGGTACCCTGGTTTAGAGAACACACCAGGAATGAGGACATCTCATTGTGTGGCCTTGTCTTTGACTTGCAGTATCTATGCCGAAATCCTTTGACCTTCTTCTGACCTGATCTAGGGATAGTGATAGCACCTTGTGAAGCAGAGGTGAACCTGGACAACTGGTGAAAGTACTTAAAGAAAGTGTTAAGTATTTATTGTGGCAGGGAGTCAGCTGAAGAGCCGGACATGACTTGGGATGTAGCTTAAAACAAAGCCTGTTGTGTGGCAGTTAAGGAGCAAAGTCACCACGGGCAGTGTTACCCAGTAGCATGGGTTGGGATCACTGGCTGTGGCTAGTTAGAGGAGGATTTCTAGACAATGCTGCTGTAGCTTTTCTGTTCACTGTCTCCATTCAGACTTGCTAAAATACTTGTGTGTGGTATGTAATGCTCCGAGGTTGAGCTTCTGCAGGTTTTGCTGCTCATGCTTCATTCTTAAAATAGGCTTTTCACTCTGGGAAGTAGTTACGACGTGGAACTTCTAACATGATGTCTTTGGGAAAAGACTGCTTGCTACTTCCAGATTGCCCCCCGGGTGCAGTCTGGCTACATTGGCTGTGTTTGGTTTCCTGCTAAGATTGTAGTTCAAGCAGTGGAAGCTGAAGTAAAAATACGCAGCGTATGTGCAGGAACTGAAATGCTGTAGTGGCCCAAAAACGCTGTTATCATCCTTGAATTACAATACCCTTTTTTTGGCTCATTATTTCTCTTTGAGCCAGGATGTGCTCTCTGACTTCAGTGGAAGTTGGGTGTGTGTTAGGGTTTTTGTCATGCATAAGCCATGTTTCTCTCTACTGTAAGAAAAGGTGCTTGTTGCAGTGTGGAACCTATCAGAACTTGCTTAAAAACTCACCGGCCTGTGTAAGTTAAAGGGGTTCTCATAAGGCACCATATTTAAACTCAGAGAGAAGGTTCCTTAACCGTTAGTCTTTGTTCATTCGTGCTACATGGTATTTTATTGTATTTGCTTTACGGTCAAGAAACACCATGTGTATTAGTCACCAGACAAACATGTACCTGGCAATAGGTGTGCTGTGAAGAGCAAGCCTACATTTCAAAGAAAAATCTTTTTTTTTGTGCATCTGACAGCACTTTTTGTGTCTAATAATGGCATTTTCTTTTCCATTCCCCTTTCTCCTTTGCTTGATCCCACAGGGAGGTCATAATTCTGTGATTTTCACCAAACTCTGTTGCAATGCAAGTGAGTGTGATGTGATAAATTCAGCATTATGACGTCACTTCGTGATCATCAACAGAAGATGGGGTATGTGGGAGCAAATCCTTGTGTAAATCCAAATCACTGTGATAAAGGATAGTCATGGTAAAAGGCCAAACAGGTGTGAAAGCCTTTTCTTGGATGGTAATATGTTGGCAGTAAAGGCTTTCTGTGTCTGTGCCATCGAATGTTTCTAGCACTCATTGCTGCTGCAGGAGCTGCCTTGACACTTTATGTATAAGTGTAATATACACTGTTGTGTTTGCTCACCGGTATATTACTTTTATACATGGAATTTGATGTTAATCTTCAGAGCTTTAGTGTTAATAAACAAAACATAAATATATTTAAGTGTCTTGGGCTATTTAGAATGGGGGATTGGGAATATAATTATGTAAGTTCTAGGATATTAGTATGCCTCAGGCGTAAGCACTGAAGAAGTGTTGGTACTAACGCTTACCCTATGTATCCTTGGCTGTCCTTTAAATGCTGTGCAGATATGGTTCAGAATTTAAAAATGCTTTAACACAATTTCAGATAAATGTAAGGGTTTGTTGCATTGACCAGTTTCTGAATTTGCTATAACTAAAACATTTAAGAGCCTTTGCAGTGTGGAAGACTAAAAGAAAAAAGTACTATTGTATGTATTTTAAGCGTTGCCATTTTCCAGTGTTGTTACTCCTGAGTAATTCATGGAGGAACATGAGAGGTTTGAAACCAGAAAAAAATGTGGGGTTTTTTAAAGCTATGGAGTTTGTCAGTTAGATGTGGCCAAGTAAAGTTGATAATTGCCACATTGTTATGTGAACTCTCAGGCTGATGGGGTTCCATTAGCCACCTTTTCCAACGTCCTGGTCAATATAAAGATTAACCTATATAGTATAACAGGGGACAGTGCAATAAAAAGTATTGCCTAGTGATCACTTAACAAAGATGTTATGGAGTTACAAAGATGGAATTCTGGTCAGGGGCTTGGGATGAGTGGCTTCAACAGCAGATCCATTTTACAGACAGGAAACCAGGTGGAGAAACTGCTCAAGGTTTCACAAGACTTGATTAATTCCTCATTCCCACTCCAGCATTTGGGCAGTGAGAATATCTTATAGTTTGTGCAGCATGTAGCAAACTTACTGTTATGGGCAGCAGCAGTAAAGTGTCAGTTCTGGCTAAATGAAAAGGAAAGCCCCTGATCAGCAGGTTGGGGTGGTGTCTTTGCATGTAAGATCAAAGTGAGTGTTCAGAGTAGAAGTGGTTTTGGGGGTTTGGGTTTTTTGTTTTGAAATGGAAAGGCAGTAAGTATTACAGATAATACTCAAAGCTTTATATGCAATAAACATCTTAAATCCTGAAGTTATTTTACCCTGTTGAACTTAAATGTCTGAAAGTCATTATACATCTTTGTTAACAAATTTGTGTTTGTGCTGCCAATGATTTGATTAAGTTTTAGGGGAGGTTGTCTTCTTTTTCCTTATTAATACTTTTATGGTCTTAAACCTTCGATGCTGTAAATGCTGACACATGTAAAATATCTGAATAATAGCAGTGTGATGCTGGGTTTTCTTTTTAGCCATAAGTGTTTGAAGGACTTGAATGTTGGTGTGCTTCCATCACAAGATATCCTTATTCCCAATGTTGTCTGAATTACTGTGTATTGAATTCAGTAAAAAAGTCCCTATAGCTGAGGGTTATCAAAACATAAAGTGGTACTTAAGAAGCTCAAAAGAATTAAAATGTCAGGGCTAACTTTAATACTAGAAGGAAAAAGTTACTAATATAGGTTTCCTCCTGTGTTCTACAGTCTGTCCAGTGAAGATGCTGTGTGAGGCTGCTTTGAGATGCTAACAGGTATCTTGAACTTTTGGTTTTCCAGTGCAGCATCTCTGAGTAATATTTGCTGTAGGAAAAGACTAAAATCTTGATATTTTTTAAAAAGCATTTATTCACCTCTCCCCACAACCAGAACAAAACCCCAGCTGGTTTTATTTCCATAATTTCAGAGGTTTTCCTAAGTAGAAGTAAGTTTAGTTTGTCTTGTATCCTTAAAAATACATATAAATATATCATGATCATCTCTTCACAATTAAGTATGCTCCCATTATTGACATGCCCTCATCTCCACTGTCATTTTTATCACATCTAGCAGGAGAGCTCCAAATTAGTGTAAAATTGGGTTTCGTCATGCTTCAGCCAGCTAGTGTATCCAAATGGATGGATCTAAACACACTGAGGAAAAGCTCTGCTCCAGGAAGAGCAGTGGGAAAGAAATGAACCTGAATTAGTTTTGTACTTTAATTAAAATATCCTTGTGGACAGATCCAAAACTTATCAAATTGTTATATATAACATTTATTTTTTTTTAAACAGGAAAGTGTCTCCTCTAAAGGGAAAACAAGATTGGCTTTAGTAGCTAAAACAAATAGTGAGGAGGATGTTTATGGCATTTGTACAATGTGGCTACTATTTATTCTGGAAGCCCTTTCTAAAACTGGAGCTATCACATATATATATATTTGGAGTCACATCCAGCTTCTCCCATCCTGCAAAGAACATTTTTTTTTTCTTTTTTAAATCTATAACTGGATCCCAAATCTATTCCTTGAATGTGTTTTTAAAAAAAACAACACTTGAGATCTCATGCCAAATTAATTTCAGATGTTCCTGAATATTTAATGGAATTGGTCTTAGTCGTTAACTTTTAATCGATCCATTTGCAGAGCTCTATTAGAAACCCAGGAGCCAGCAGTGGTAATCTGTGACCTGAAAACTGATCACAGAAACTTGATGAAATTTCTCTGGCATTGTGGGCCTTCTTTTTATACTCTGATGTAAAGAGCTGAAGGAATTCATCCCTTCGCTGAGTGTTCAGCATCCTTTCCATCTCTGCACGCTGTGACTGTGTGCCCCCCCTAACGTAGTGACACCCTCCAGCCAGATTTCCTCCACAATCTGTCAATGTCATGGCTTCATGGCTGGCTGGCAGGGGTTTGCAAGAGAGTGCCATGGGTTATGCTTTTTCTCTCTCTGATAGCCTCAGCCTTTCCAAGAGAGCTGGGCTCTCCAGAGTCTGAATTCTGCATCCTGGCACATATTGCTACCAATAAGGCTATTGGTTCCAAGGCTGGAATTTCAGAGCTGTCTGACAGGAGTGTTGAGTGAATGTTAAATTGCTAGCAGCAGATTTCTACCCAAAAATAAACCTCAGATGGTCAAAATGCATTTAGATTTCTAATATCATTGAACAGTTTCATGACAATCAAAACACACTGGTCTATCTAAAACCTCTTCTGCTCTCTAGAAACTTCAGTGAAAATTGTAGGCATTAAATGTGCATTTTCAGCAGCTGTTCTTCTTAACTGTATCTTTAATCCAGCTCTTATTACTGCTACTGCAGTTACCTAGTCAAGTAACAGCCCTGAGAAATCTGGAGGTTAGCAGTGCTCTAACAAGTTTGTGAAATGCAAAGAACAATTTGCACAATGCAGCCCTAAAGACGATGTAATAGAGATCATCCTCCTTAATAGCCTGTTTAAATCCTTGACAACTTACAGTAGTAGATCACTTTCTTCTGAAGCCGAAGATTAACTTCTCCTGCATTGTAATTTTATAGGGAGAAGAAGTGGGTGACAGTTGGCGACACATCCCTAAGGATTTACAAATGGGTACCAGTAACAGAGCCTAAAGTCGATGATGTAAGTATTCTGCAGATGTCTTGCTTTTTTCAGGATGTAGACACTCATGCTTAGGGACAGTCAAAAGAAATAGACTCGCTGTTCTTTGAGCCTTAAAGCTAAGTCTGGTGTGGGTCTTGCAAGTGTTTGAATAGAAGAGCTCTAGGGAAACGCTGCTCTCTGCAGATGATGGCTCAGTGGGTGGCAGTCTGCCTGCAGTCAGCTTGGATCAAGTCTCAGATAACTGTTAAACAGGCGGCTCGAAACTGATTTTTGAAACCTTTCTCTAACATAATAACTGGGAGGCAGGGAGGGGAGGCTGAGGCAGAGATTACTTTCTGCCTGATGCTTTAAAGGCAAGTAGCTGGTTTGGAGCTGTGCAGAGAATGTGTTCATGTGTGCCTCACTGCTGTTTTGCTCAAAAATAGGTGCAAAACACTGAAGTAAAGTGCCGTGGTTTAAGCCCTGCTGAGCCCAGGACATAAGAGTAGGAAAATCCTGTGGGACTGAGAGCACTTTGTTATTAAGATGTCCAGCCCAAGCAATACAGCAGACATGATCCTATTTGTAACTTAGGTTTTCTCTTGACGTTTTGTCTGTGCATCCTATTTATGTTCTTAGTGTGCACTGTTCATGAGCCGTAATAAAGTCACGTAGCATAAAAATAAGTATAGAAATAAAAGTTGATAGGGCTTACAATTATTTTTTTTTCCAAATGAACATTGCTCTAATTTTGTAAGTTGAAATATTATTATAGAGAGAAAACTAACCCGTGGTACCACAGGAAATTAACGATACAATAGAAAATACATCCTAAGTTTGGTACTCCTTCCTTGGGCTGTCATGTGCTTTCACTTTATTTGAAATAGGAGTTAAGACCTATCCAGAAGAAAACTACTATGTTAATAAATGTGAAAAATGATGCTTTTTCAGACAAGTGTCATGATCTTGTCTTACTCAAAGGACAAATTCAAGACCTATGTTTGATTAGCATTGTTTAAACAGAGTTTGTTTCTTTCTGTACCTTTGGTTGTACCAGAGATTTCGGTGACTGTCAGAGTTGTGGTAAAGCTTCTTGTATTCTTCAATGCTCGAGCAGCATCTCTGTGAAGTAGCCCCTTAGGAACTGGGAAGCCCTTCCTGGTTCTGTAGAGAAACTTGCTTGTTCTTTACAGTCATCAAATGTTCTGTTTTGATTTTATAATAGATAGGGGAAGAAAGCTGTGTTTTCTATGTGTGAGAGAGAGAGATTTAGGATACTTAGGCTCACAGCTTCTCATAATTGTTTTCTCACAGTTAAGGCATGTGCATGATGGAACTTTTAAAATAGAGTTCTAGTGAATGTCTGGATGGAATTTTAAGGTGACTGGTACCCAAAGTCAGATTCTCTGTGAAGAAGAATGAGTTTATGTAATGGTCTTTATGTGCAGAGGTTAACTGTGTGTTTTGAGCCATCATCTTTAGGTTTAGGCTCCAGATTTGCTGAAACTGGGACACTTGTTCATGACCAGCTGCTTTAGTGTCCTGCAGCCACATTCTGTTTATGACAAGTAGAGGCCATTGGGCAGCTGCAGTTGTTGCATGTTTGATGTTATGAGGTTTCTGACTTTTAGCTCTGGAAGTTCTAAGTTCTCACAAATAAAACAAGTGCATCTGTTTGGAAAAGTAAATACCAGGTAGGAGTCATCTTGGTGGTTTAATTTTGCTGTGGACATCTTTTTATATCCGATTTCATCCACCTGTGAAGGAGCAGACACTACCTGCATTTTACTAGAATAGGAGAATGGGATCTTTTTTACACTTCATGTTTCAAATGGAAGTTGTCTTTGATTTCAGTGAACACAGATTACATTATTTCCCCCCTCACATGTTGTTCCTAAGACACTTTTGACATTTCTTTGAACTAGAATTAGCTGGGCTCTTTCCTCCTCCTAGTTTAGAAAGGCTGTTGTAGAACCTCACACTTTGATGCTTAACCCTTTCTAAGAAAACTTCTCAGCTGAAATTGCTCACAGTCATTTTCAGTATTTCTCTTGGTGCAAAAGTGTCCCTTTTACCTTTGGAAACAGAGAAACAAAACCACTAAACCTGAGAGAGATTATGTCCCTTCTGAACTTTCATTTTGCAAAGGTAAAAAAGTCTATGTGCTTTCACGGCTGTTTCACATACGAGGGAATAAAATCTGGCTTCTCTGAAGTAAAAAGACCCTTTAAAAATGAGCCTAATAATCTGATAAAATAGAGGGAAAAGTCTTCCAGCTATCACTTGTTGAATTTCTTCTGCAGTCTTAGACAATTTTTGGTTGTGGTTTTAGTTCCCTCCTTGGAGGACACTGTCCTTTCTGAACGGATGGGTTGCTGAGTGTTCTTCCTAGAGTCAGGCTTTGAGCTGTGCTCTC